CGCCGCGCGCGGGGGGCTTCCGGGAGCGGGTGCGGGCATCGCCGGGAGCCCGGCGGGGCCTTGGGACACAGACGGGGGGCCGGGGAGCGGGGCTCACGGCAGCCGGGACGGGAGAGTCCCGCGGCGCAGGGGCGCTGCCAAGGAGGGGCCGGGGACAGTGCCCACAGAGGAGGGCGCCAGGCAGTCGGGGGGCAGGGCCTGGCATCGTGGGGACACGGAATTGCAAGCGCGAAAGAAGCCAGATATGCGGGGTCATGGGGGCACTGAGCTTGGGCCAGAGAAACGGGGGTCTGTCCAGATGCTGGAATCACAGGGAGTCAGGGGAACAGAGATCCGGGTTCTAAAGAGACAGATATCGGGGATCCCAGGACGTCACAGTCTCAGGAGCCAAGAGCCCTGGAGGCATGGGAGCTAGGAGAACAGAGCTGGGGTCTGGACACCCCATTACGGGGGATCACAGGACCTAACAAAACAAACCAGAGTTCCAGGAACCCAGATACCAGGGGGCTCCGAGGAGCCAGAGGAACAGAGACCCGGGCTGGGCACCCACTTGTGTGTGGTCACAAGTGGTCGGGGTCCTAGTTGGAGACCCAAGGTGACCCTGAAGGGCTTGGGGACTGAAGATTCCAGGGCTGGGTCATTCTGGGACTCAAGGATTGAGAGTCGGCATGGGAGATGCAGGGGTCTCCAGATGGAAGGCCTTGGGGGCCCCACGGCCTGGAATTGGAGATACGGGGACCTGGATACTGGGGTGCTCAGGAATGAGGGACCCCCAGAGTCTGCAGATGATAGAGAAGGCCACACACTCCCCATTCCAGGTCCATCCCTGACCCCAAGGAAGGGACATCTGCCACAGCTGTGCCCGCCTCACCATCCCCCAGGGACCCTCAAAGCCTCAGACAGCCCTTCTTAGAATCCTGTTTCTGCACCTCCCACCCCCATCCATGCAGCAGTTGGAGTCTCAAGCCATGCATCAGGGGGCCACCACTGCCTCCCAGCTTTTCCCACTCCCTGGGTAAGAACTCAGGCCTCGGCTGGACACAGTGGCTCACGCCTGTAATCCCAGCACTTTGGGAAACCGAGGCAGGAGGATCACTTGAGAACAGCCTGAACAACATAGTGAGACTACATCTCTATAAAAATAAAAAAAATTAGCCAAGTGGGGTAGTGAACACCTATAGTCCCAGCTACTCAGGAGGCTGAGGCAGAAGGATTGCCAGAGCCCAGGAGGTCGAGGCTGCAGTGAACCATGGCTGTGCCACTGCCCTCCAGTCTGGGTGACAGAATGAGACTCAAAAAAAAAATATCCAGGCCTCAGTTTCCCCCTTCTGTGTGATGGGTGGATATGAATTTGCCTGCTGCCAAAGTCCCTTCCAACAGTTGGGTCCAAACAGGCTTCTGGTGCCATCTCCTCTCACTATCCCCTCTCCCAAAACCTAATATGTGTTTCACCCCACACACTACCTCCACTCCACCCCCTTTTTTTTTTTTTTTTT